TCTCCATGACCAAACAGATAACAGCTGATGATAACACATGAGACAGATAACAGTTGTCTCCATGACCAGACAGATAACAGCTGTCTCCATGACCAGACAGATAACAGCTGTCTCCATGACCAGACAGATAACAGCTGTCTCCATGACCAGACAGATAACAGCTGTCTCTCCATGACCAGACAGATAACAGCTGTCTCCATGACCAGACAGATAACAGCTGTCTCCATGACCAGACAGATAACAGCTGTCTCCATGACCAGACAGATAACAGCTGTCTCCATGACCAGACAGACAGATAACAGCTGTCTCCATGACCAGACAGATAACAGCTGTCTCCATGACCAGACAGATAACAGCTGTCTCCATGACCAGACAGATACTGCTGTCTCCGTGACCAGACAGATAACAGCTGTCTCCATGACCAGACAGATAACAGCTGTCTCCATGACCCAGACAGATAATAACAGCTGTCTCCATGACCAGACAGATAACAGCTGTCTCCATGACCAGACAGATAACAGCTGTCCAGATGACCGTGACCAGACAGATAACAGCTGTCTCCATGACCAGACAGATAACAGCTGTCTCCGTGACCAGACAGATAACAGCTGTCTCCGTGACCAGACAGATAACAGCTGTCTCCGTGACCAGACAGATAACAGCTGTCTCCATGACCAGACAGATAACAGTTGTCTCCGTGACCAGACAGATAACAGTTGTCTCCATGACCAAACAGATAACAGCTGTCTCCATGACCAGACAGATAACAGCTGTCTCCGTGACCAGACAGATAACAGCTGTCTCCATGACCGAACAGATAACAGCTGTCTCCATGACCAGACAGATAACAGCTGTCTCCATGACCAGACAGATAACAGCTGTCTCCATGACCAGACAGATAACAGCTGTCTCCATGACCAGACAGATAACAGCTGTCTCCATGACCAGACAGATAACAGTTGTCTCCATGACCAGACAGATAACAGCTGTCTCCATGACCAGACAGATAACAGCTGTCTCCATGACCAGCTGACAGATAACAGCTGTCTCCATGACCAGACAGATAACAGCTGTCTCCTGACCAGACAGATAACATGACCAGACAGATAACAGCTGACAGATAAAACAGTTGTCTCCATGACCAGACAGATAACAGCTGTCTCCATGTCTCCATGACCAGACAGATAACAGCTGTCTCCATGACCAGACAGATAACAGCTGTCTCCATGACCAGACAGATAACAGCTGTCTCCATGACCAGACAGAGATAAGTTGTCTCCATGACCGAACAGATAACAGCTGTCTCCATGACCAGACAGATAACAGCTGTCTCCTGACCATGATAACAGCTGACAGAGACAGATAACAGCTGTCTCCATGACCAGACAGATAACAGCTGTCTCCATGACCGACCATACAGATAACAGCTGTCTCCATGACCGAACAGATAACAGCTGTCTCCATGACCAGACAGATAACAGCTGTCTCCATGACCAAACAGATAACAGCTGTCTCCATGACCAGACAGATAACAGCTGTCTCCATGACCGAACAGATAACAGCTGTCTCCATGACCGAACAGATAACAGCTGTCTCCATGACAGATAACAACAGATAACAGCTGTCTGTCTCCATGACCAGACAGATAACAGCTGTCTCCATGACCATAACAGATAACTGTCTCCATGACCAAACAGATAACTGTCTCCATGACAGACAGATAACAGCTGTCTCCATGACCAGAACAGATAACATAAGCTGTCTCCATGACCAGACAGATAACAGCTGTCTCCATGACAAACAGATAACAGTCTCCATGACCAGACAGATAACAGTTGTCTCCATGACCAGACAGATAACAGCTGTCTCCATGACCAGACAGATAACAGATGACCAACAGATAACTGTCTCCATGACCGAACAGATAACAGCTGTCTCCATGACCATACAGATAACAGCTGTCTCCATGACCGAACAGATAACAGCTGTCTCCATGACCAGAACAGATAACAGCTGTCTCCATGACCGAACAGATAACAGCTGTCTCCATGACCAGACAGATAACAGCTGTCTCCATGACCGAACAGATAACAGCTGTCTCCATGACCGAACAGATAACAGCTGATGAACAGATAACAGCTGTCTCCATGACCAGACAGATAACAGCTGTCTCCATGACCGAACAGATAACAGCTGTCTCCATGACCAGACAGATAAACAGATAACAGCTGTCTCCATGACCAGACAGATAACAGCTGTCTCCATGACCAGACAGATAACAGCTGTCTCCATGACCAGACAGATAACAGCTGTCTCCATGACCAGACAGATGACCAATAACAGATAACAGCTGTCTCCATGACGAACAGATACGCTGTCTCCATGATAACAGATAACAGCTGTCTCCATGACAGAACAGATAACAGATAACAGCTGTCTCCATGACCAGACAGATAACAGCTGTCTCCATGACCAGACAGATAACAGCTGTCTCCATGACCAGACAGATAACAGCTGTCTCCATGACCAGACAGATAACAGCTGTCTCCATGACCAGACAGATAACAGCTGTCTCCATGACCAGACAGATAACAGCTGTCTCCATGACCAGACAGATAACAGTAACAGCTGTCTCATGACCAGACAGATAACAGCTGTCTCCATGACCAGACAGATAACAGTTGTCTCCATGACCAGACAGATAACAGCTGTCTCCAGATAGACAGATAACAGTTGTCTCCATGACCAAACAGATAACAGCTGTCTCCATGACCAGACAGATAACAGCTGTCTCCATGACCAGACAGATAACAGCTGTCTCCATGACCGAACAGATAACAGTTGTCTCCATGACCAGACAGATAACAGCTGTCTCCGTGACCAGACAGATAACAGTTGTCTCCGTGACCAGACAGATAACAGTTGTCTCCATGACCAGACAGATAACAGCTGTCTCCATGACCAGACAGATAACAGCTGTCTCCATGACCAGACAGATAACAGCTGTCTCCATGACCAGACAGATAACAGTTGTCTCCATGACCAGACAGATAACAGCTGTCTCCATGACCAGACAGATAACAGTTGTCTCCATGACCAGACAGATAACAGCTGTCTCCATGACCAGACAGATAACAGTTGTCTCCGTGACCAGACAGATAACAGCTGTCTCCATGACCAGACAGATAACAGCTGTCTCCATGACCAGACAGATAACAGCTGTCTCCATGACCAGACAGATAACAGCTGTCTCCATGACCAAACAGATAACAGTTGTCTCCATGACCAGACAGATAACAGCTGTCTCCGTGACCAGACAGATAACAGTTGTCTCCGTGACCAGACAGATAACAGCTGTCTCCATGACCAGACAGATAACAGCTGTCTCCATGACCAAACAGATAACAGTTGTCTCCATGACCAAACAGATAACAGCTGTCTCCATGACCAGACAGATAACAGCTGTCTCCGTGACCAGACAGATAACAGTTGTCTCCATGACCGAACAGATAACAGCTGTCTCCATGACCAGACAGATAACAGCTGTCTCCATGACCGAACAGATAACAGCTCTCTCCATGACCAGACAGATAACAGCTGTCTCCATGACCATACAGATAACAGCTGTCTCCATGACCATACAGATAACAGCTGTCTCCATGACCATACAGATAACAGCTGTCTCCATGACCGAACAGATAACAGCTGTCTCCATGACCGAACAGATACCTGCTGTCTCCATGACCGGACAGATAACAGCTGTCTCCATGACCGAACAGATACCTGCTGTCTCCATGACCGAACAGATAACAGCTGTCTCCATGACCGAACAGATACCTGCTGTCTCCATTGCCGGACAGATAACACCTTTCTCCTTGACCGGACAAAAAACCTATGTCTCCATGACCGGACATACAACCTATGTCTCTATGACCGGACAGACAACAGCTACCCCACTTCCCTCATTCGGCCACGTGCAGCTTATATGTCGAGATACATACTTGCACAAAAAGAAGGGGATGTGTGTTAATAATATCTTCTCTCATTCTCATTCTCATCCTAGCATCTTCTTCTTCTTCTTCTTCTTCTTCTTCTTCTTCTTCTTCTTCTTCTTCTTCTTCTTCTTCTTCTTCTTCTTCTTCTTCTTCTTCTTCTTCTTCTTCTTCTTCTTCTTCTTCTTCTTCTTCTTCTTGTTCTTCTTCTTCTTCTTCTTCTTCTTCTTCTTCTTCTTCTTCTTCTTGTTCTTCGTCTTGTTCTTCGTCTTGTTGTTCTTCTTGTTCTTCGTCTTGTTCTTGTTCTTGTTCTTGTTCTTCTTCTTCTTCTTCTTCTTCTTCTTCTTCTTCTTCTTCTTCTTCTTCTTCTTCTTCTTCTTCTTCTTCTTCTTCTTCTTCTTCTTCTTCTTCTTCTTCTTCTTCTTCTTCTTCTTCTTCTTCTTCTTTTTCTCTTTCTTCTTCTTATCATTCACCGGTTACTTCTATGTTTAAATGTCACTTGCTCTGACGAGTTGCTGTATGAATTTAAATAGTACTGACAGACATAACGTATTCACATACCATGCGCACACGTCATCTGATATAATTTCCCATCACACACAGAACACATCTAATGAGAATATGAACAGCTGAAAGCTTTATGTATAGATATCTGATATAATGTCCCACCACACACAGAGCACATCTGGTGAGAACATGAACAGCTGAAAGTTTTTTGTATAGATATCTGATACAATGTCCCACCACACATAGAACACATCATCTCATGAAGATATGATGTCATTAATGTAGACTGATGTCAGATATGGAAATCCCCCCTCGCGTTTCCCTGGCAACTGATTTAGGACAGGCAGACAGACTCTTCTTGTCCAGATCTATTGGTGTTACCCTTTCTCTGGAGTAAACAAGTTAGGTCCAAGACAGGGATGAGGTCGCACGAACAACACATGGTCTCAACATGATACTGCCCAGGCTGTGTGCTGCTGAGAGAAGGAATACTCGCTGTCGTCATAGGCTGTGATTTCCGTGCCTACCTCTGGCACTGAAAAGACATCCAGCCAAGAAGATGAACCAGGAACACACAGAAAGCTGCCAAAGACACATGCCGAGCTCTACAACTCGTGAGGGTAGCAATAGATGCAAATCACTGAGGTAGATACGTGTGATTGATTGAACTTTTTAACTCGTGACTACATCAATAGATGGCCGGCTCCGTGGTAGGTGTCAGATATGTAATGTTCCCCTTTGAGGAGACAATTTAGTGCCAAATATACCCGGCTATAAATCGTGAAGGCATGAATAGCCACCGAAAACTGGCAAACATGCCAGATTGAAATGTACAACCAAACCGGGGAGAGCTAATGAGCCTCAACTGGGATGGCGGGGTCGGGTTACGGACTTCAGACATGGCAGTGGGTCCAGGTTTGACGACCCGTTTACACGCGGTGTGAAAAGTTGACGAACTGTATTTGGTTAAATAAAGGCTGGCTTTCAGACTATTGACCTTTGAGTTGGCAGATTGGCACGAACGATTGAAATGTTTAGGTAAGTAAGTGATAGCTGGTCGTCTGTTCACTTGGCGGGCCGAGGACAAGTGGGAACGAGGGACAGTACGAATATTTATATGTGTCTGAGGTGCTTGTGAAAAGTGGTGATTAAATGTGTGTTTACCTTGGAATCTGTGAGTGACGGTTTTCTGCCAGGTAGGCAGTTTTATTGTGTCTCTGCCAGGGACAGACTCGACCCGGTTCATGTACCAACGTAAGGCAGATACACAGCCGGGGTGGCAAGCGGAGATGTCTGAGCGCGTACAAGCTTTTGGTACCCCACCCCCACCAGCCAGAGCCGTCTCAACAGCACATGGGCCCCTGGGCTAACCAGTGTGCTGCCCCCCCCCCCCCAACGACAATCAGTCAAGGAATCAAATGTCAATGTGAAGTCACTTTACATACAGAGATTAACAGGGTGCTAGTATGTTAGTGCAACCCTCCAGATGTGCCCAGTGGTCCGTATGTTAGTGCAGCACTCCAGAAGTGCCCAGCGGTCCGTATGTTAGTGCAACCCTCCAGAAGTGCCCAGCGGTCCGTATGTTAGTGCAACCCTCCAGAAGTGCCCAGCGGCCCGTATGTTAGTGCAGCACTCCAGAAGTGCCCAGCGGCCCGTATGTTAGTGCAGCACTCCAGAAGTGCCCAGCGGCCCGTATGTTAGTGCAGCACTACAGAAGTGCCCAGCGGCCCGTATGTTAGAGCAACCCTCCAGAAGTGCCCAGTGGTCCGTATGTTAGTGCAACCCTCCAGAAGTGCCCAGCGGCCCGTATGTTAGTGCAACCCTCCAGAAGTGCCCAGCGGCCCGTATGTTAGTGCAGCACTCCAGAAGTGCCCAGCGGCCCGTATGTTAGTGCAACCCTCCAGAAGTGCCCAGCGGCCCGTATGTTAGTGCAACCCTCCAGAAGTGCCCAGCGGCCCGTATGTTAATACGGTACCGGTGCCTATATGTGTGTATAATTCAAAATATTTATTTTTAAAATGTATCCATCGAAATTTAAAAAATTGTCAGTAAGATAGAAAATAATGTCTAATGTCTATACTTTTAATTTATTTGCATATTTGTCTCCTACTGTTTTCTTTTTCTTTTTCAGATTCTTAGACTTATCTTATGCTTCTTTACCTAACAGATACATTTGGGCTCATCCAGGAAATAGTCCCGACTAAGTAGAAAAGCAATGGCACCTGACTTAAAAGACATCACTAGCTTTCAGAAAATATCGTTTCCGTGTGTGCACAATGTGTATCAACATAAAGTCGTGTCCTTGGAGATATTATCTTTCAAACCTTCATGTATTATATATATATTAGATGCTGCAAATATGACCAGCTCCCTTCATTGACCACCTCCAGAACTTGACCATAAATTTATTAATCCTACGGTCACTCTATATTGTGAAGAATAGCTCTCTATGACCAGCCCTGTAACTTGTACGCCAATCAACAGAGCCACGCACGCCGATCAACACAGCCACACACGCCGATCAACAGAGCCACGCACGCCGATCAACACAGCCACACACGCCAATCAACAGAGCCACGCACGCCGATCAACACAGCCACACACACCGATCAACAGAGCCACACACACCAATCAACAGAGCCACACACACGCCGATCAACAGAGCCACACACACCGAACAACAGATCCACGCACACGCCCAGACAAAACTGCCACGAGTCACCACGTGACACCAACATGCTGACGCAGCCATGTCAAGTGTTCACAAACTGGAACCTTGGATGTCACCAACCCAAGCCTGGTGCTCTACACAAGACAACAACCCACACTTGCAGCACTCCAGTCTACTGTAGGATTTCAGTAGCTCGGCAGAGAAGATAAGCCTAGACTCTTGAAGGATTAGGCCAGTGAAGCCGCAAGGATTAGGCTGTCTGGCAGGTGTTGACATCAAGTGGTTGGCCAGCATGACGGTTCTGCTAGTGGCGCTGGCTCTAGAGCACTTCAGTCAATAGCTGCCAGAGTCCGACACAGAAGACATAGCTTTGATGACAATAGCTGAGACAGAAGACATAGCGTTGATGACAATAGCTGAGACAGAAGACATAGCGTTGATGACAATAGCTGAGACAGAAGACATAGCGTTGATGACAATAGCTGAGGCAGAAGACATAGCTTTGATGACAATAGCTGAGACAGAAGACATAGCTTTGATGACAATAGCTGAGACAAAAGACATAGCTTTGATGACAATAGATAAGACAGAAGAGATAGCTTTGATGACAATAGCTGAGACAGAAGACATAGCTTTGATGACAATAGCTGACACAGAAGACATATCTTTGATGACAATAGCGGAGACGGAAAACATAGCGTTGATGACAATAGCTGAGACAGAAGACATGGCTTTGATGACAATAGCTGAGACAGACGACACAGCTTTGATGACAATAGCTGAGACAGAAGACATAGCGTTGATGACAATAGCTGAGACAGAAGACATAGCGTTGATGACAATAGCTGAGACAGAAGACATAGCGTTAATGACAATAGCTGAGAGAGAAGACATAGCGTTGATGACAATAGCTGAGACAGAAGACATAGCTTTGATGACAAAAGCTGAGACAGAAGACATAGCTTTGATGACAATAGCTGAGACAGAAGACATAGCTTTGATGACAATAGCTGAGACAGAAGACATAGCTTTGATGTCAATAGCTGAGACAGAAGACATAGCGTTGATGACTATAGCTGAGACAGAAGACATAGCGTTATTGACAATAGCTGAGACAGAAGAAATAGCGTTGACGACAATAGCTGAGACAGAAGACATAGCTTTGATGACAATAGCTGAGACAGAAGACATAGCTTTGATGACAATAGCTGAGACAGAAGACATAGCGTTGATGACAATAGCTGAGACAGAAGACAAAGCGTTGATGACAATAGCCGAGACAGAAGACATAGCGTTGATGACAATAGCTGAGACAGAAGACAGCGTTGATGACAATAGCTGAGAAAGAAGACATAGCTTTGATGACAATAGCTGAGACAGAAGACATAGCTTTGATGACAATAGCTGAGACAGAAGACATGGCTTTGATGACGATAGCTGAGACAGAAGACACAGCGTTGCTGACAATACCTGAGAGAGAAGACGTAGCGTTGATGACAATAGCTGAGACAGAAGCCATAGCTTTGATGACAATAGCCAAGAGAGAAGACATAGCTTTGATGACAATAGCTGAGACAGAAGACATAGCTTTGATGACAATAGATGAGACAGAGGACATAGCTTTGATGACAATAGAGACAGAAGACATAGCGTTGATGACAATAGCTGAGACAGAAGACATAGCGTTGATGACAATAGCTGAGACAGAACACATGGCTTTGATGACAATAGCTGAGACAGAAGACATAGCTTTTATGACAATAGCTGACACAGAAGACATAGCTTTGATAACATTGGCTGAAACAGAAGACATAGCTTTGATGACAATAGCTGACACAGAAGACGTAGCTTTGATGTCAATAGCTGAGACAGAAAACATAGCTTTGATTACAATAGCTGAGACAGAAGACATAGCTTTGATGACAATAGCTGAGACAGAAGACATAGTTTTGATGACAATAGCTGAGACAGAAGACATGGCTTTGATGACAATAGCTGAGACAGAAGACATAGCGTTGATGACAATAGCTGAGACAGAAGACATAGCTTTAATTACAATAGCTGAGACAGAAGACATAGCGTTGATGACAATAGCTGAGACAGAAGACATAGCTTTGGTGACAATAGCTGAGACAGAAGACATAGCTTTGATGACAATAGACGAGACAGAAGACATAGTTTTGATGACAATAGCTGAGACAGAAGACATAGCTTTGATGACAATAGCTAGGACAGAAGACATAGTTTTGATGACAATAGCTAAGACAGAAGACATAGCGTTGGTGACAATAACTAAGACAGAAGACATAGCTTTGATGACAATAGCTGAGACAGAAGACATAGCTTTGATGACAATAGCTAAGACAGAAGACATAGCTTTGATGACAATAGCTGACACAGAAGACATAGCGTTGATGACAATAGCTGACACAGAAGACATAGCGTTGATGACAATAGCTGAGAAAGAAGACATAGCGTTGATGACAATAGCTGAGACAGAAGACATAGCGTTGATGATAATAGCTGAGACAGAAGACATAGCTTTGATGACAATAGCTAAGACAGAAGACAGCTTTGATGTCAGTAGCTGAGACAGAAGACATAGCGTTGATGACAATAGCTGAGACAGAAGACATAGCGTTGATGACAATAGCTGAGACAGAAGACATAGCGTTGACGACAATAGCTGAGACAGAAGACATTGCGTTGATGACAATAGCTGAGACAGAAGACATAGCGTTGATGACAAAGCTGAGACAGAAGACATAGCTTTGATGACAATAGCTGAGACAGAAGACATATCTTTGATGACAATAGCTGAGACAGAAGACATGGCTTTGATGACAATAGCTGAGACAGAAGACATGGCGTTGATGACAATAGCTGAGACAGAAGACATGGCTTTGATGACAATAGCTGAGACAGAAGACATAGCTTTGATGTCAATAGCTGAGACAGAAGACATAGCTTTGATGACAATAGATAAGACAGAAGAACAAGTCACAGCTTTACATACACACATCGTGATAGTGATGTTTGCATTCTAGCATGGGTAGATGTACGCTTTACATACACACACACACACAAGTACAAACACACATACACACACAGACACGTATAAACAAACAAACACACACACACACATCCACGCCGTACAATCACACATACATACTAGTGGTCAACCTATTAATCAGACAGACAGACAGACAAATTGACAGACAGGCAGACAACAAACTCATAGACCTATAAACATGCAGATAATGAATCGTGCAGACAGACAGACATGCCAAAAGGAGGTGGGGTGGGCGGGGGAGGAGGGACAGCCAGAGAGAGAGAACCAAAAAATTTAATCAGACAGACAGACAAATAAATGGACAGACAGGCAGACAACAAACTCATAGACCTATAAACATGCAGACAGACGAAAAGTAGATGGGGGTGGGGGGAGGGGGTGGGGAGCGGGAAATGTTGGGGAGGATAAGCCAGACAGAGAGAACGAAAAAATACATCATAGAATTGTTACATCATATCATTCATACATCATGTCATTCTAGATCACATATAGACAGACAGACAGACAGAGAGACAGACAGACAGACAGACGGGCAGACAGACAGAC